TGAAGGGGCCTCCTCAGCCAAACACATCTCAGTTCACAAAGACAAGAGTCAAACCTTCTTGTTCCAGTCGGCTAAGGTTACAGAGAGCGTCCCCTTTCCTCTGGGGTCAGGTATGCCCTAGAAGCAAGTGATAACAGGCACACTTGGCGTCATAAATATTAGCAGAACCTCTGCATAATCAGGAAAGATACCAGAGAATCCCCCCCCCGCTTCTTTCCTGATTCAAGGCTTGTCGTATGTAAGATAATGACACTGGGTCCCACTGAAAGGCTGAAATGTCCCCCTCTTTCCCAAACAGCCCAGAGAGGGAATCTCTCAGATGCCCACCCACCGACCCTGGAAACACAAAGCCTACTGAAAAACCTTCTGTCCCTATAACCCCCCCACCCACACACTATAAAGAGGACAAATCTACTCCTCTCGTCCAACAGCATAAAAACTGATCGAGTCCCGAAAGTTCTTTCCCACACTCGAAGGGACTGCTTATGTTGATCTTAATGCGTGTATCTATCCCAAAATAGTTCTTCGTGCAGACTAAAAATCCAGAATTGTCTATAGGAATGAAGATTCTTTGCTGGTTAAAAAATAAAAAACGCTTCAAGATTCAAGCCACATCAATGTGCAGATGTGCTTTTGGCAAGCGTGACTTTCCTTGAGGTCTCGCCACATGCTCTGTGATCATCTACACGTCCAAATGCTTGGGGGGGGGGTTCTTTAAAAACGCCAGTCACTCAGAAACATTTCCGTGCCAGACTGTCTCTTCTCCACCAGGTAGGAACTTCTGTGGGATTGTCTCTGAGCACTGAAATGATCCCACCTTGAGTCATCTGAGGTTTCAGAGTTGGCATCTGTTAAGTCACCAGGCCAAACGGGTGGCTATTTGTCTTTCAGGAGTCTGGCAGACTGGTGTCAGAAGTGGAATCCACAATCAAGTCCCAACGGGAGATTATGAGACTTTTCCGAGTCAGAGGGGAAGAGATCTGTGGCTACAACTGAAAGGGGG